AGCCCGCGAAAAAATAGTGTTGTGTAATTCGTTCGATTGGGACGAGGCGGATGCGAAAGTCCGCAGTTATCTTTGACTATGTCTTTGCGCAGAGGGGCAACGACAGATCCAACAAAAGAAACCAAACCTCGACCTGCACACCGTCACCACAAAAAACTTTATGACGATTTTAGAAGATAATTTTGTGACCACCAGAATCTTAGCATTCGGGCGGTACAACTTTATCTGTCGAAAACAAAAGAAAACAGAAAGCCTTGAACAATTCCACGCGGACTTAATTGAACTGGCTTCAAGAGCCGATTGCGGAGATCGAGAGGACGAGTGGGTGAGAGACATGTTCACTGCCCACCTGCACAACAAAAAAGTTGCGGAAGAACTATTAACTGCAACAGCTAGTCCTCAACACGCATACGAATAAGCAATCCGCCAAAAAAAGGTGTCGAATATAGTCGAACCATGAAGACAACCCCATTCTGAGGCCAAATAGCAGGAACCAATACACTACATCATTCCAAGTGGTCGCAAAAACTACACAAACAGTCAAAATTCGTAGAGAGGTCAGGGCGGATCTCGAAGCAGACCATATACTCGTGGGACACATAATAAAAAGAGTTCAGAAATCACGATCTACTAATTATAATACACAAAAGCAGTGTTACAAGTGCGGCAACCAGTTTGATCTAAATTACTTAGAGTCGTGTCCAGTAAAGTACAAAATTTGCTCAAAATCCACCAAGCGGGACCATTTTGCGAAAGTATGTCGATCTCCAAATGTCAATTACATGGAGGACCGAAATCACAAATAACAAGAGGAAATAGAAACTGAGAGACAAGATACAGACAACGATTCAGTTGCGTTTGCAGAATTTACATCCAAAGACAGTTGGGAAGAATATCAAGTCAATAATTTTTCGGTTATAGCAATTTCAGAAGTTTTAGAGGTAAAAAATTCAGTTAGTTTGGCGGAAGATGACATCAACGGACATATTGTAAAACTGAAAACAAAAACAGATGAGCTAATTCTATTGCCGACTCCGGAAGCCCAATGCTATTTATAAACGAAAAAACGGCTCGGCGATTACAAGAAAACGACAAATCAATAATTTTCAAAAATACGGACCCTGCAGACCTTCACGTTTAAGTGACTACGTTGCATACAAATCCGCGAGGAGATCTGGACCTTGTCTACGTTTTTTGGACATTGAGAAACCCAACGCACCTCAACACCCGATTAAAGAAGACACAGTGACAGGTCTACGAAAGAAACTAACCAGCAAAAAACAGGCTGCAGGTCAATCAAGCAGTCTAGCAAAGCGACGAGCTAAACAAAAGGGAAGACGACAGGCAGCCCGCCTACTCGCGCAACAAGAGGAATGAGCCTCCAACCGGAAAAGGAAGCAACGGAAACATCCAAAGCCACCCACAAGATCTCCGACCGTAAGAAAGAAGAAGAAAGGTCGTCAACGGCGTCAGAGATTTCAGCACCGTCGCCCAAACGGCAAAATGAAAAGAACACATCGCCAAACATCATATCGAATAATCCAACCAAAAATCGACAAGAAAGCGCCAGTCATCATTAGCTAACGCACTTGAAAAGCCCATACTAATAAACGCGATCGAAAACAAAAAATCGGCTACACAAAAAAAAGATTAACTTTAATATTGATTCACAAACGGAATCGACAGAGTCACCGACGAAAACGAGTCTCAAAACACAGGAAATGGGTTTATCGGACCAGGCATGCATAAAGCTCCTCGAGGCAATCAGCAAAAAAACCGAATCAAGAATGCAGAAGACTGAAATTATTGACCTTATCTCTCCAGAGAACACCCGGAAATAGAAACGACGGAAGTATTAGTCATCGAGAAAACAGGCGGGAATAATAACACGATGGACAAATAAAAAGATGACGAAACAAACGAGGAACAAGAGAAACAAGCGGAGGACGATAACAACAATAAATAGAGAAGTCCCCCAGTGACTATAAACTCAATTTAAAAACATTTATTGTTCATATCTTTCTCCTAGGGGGAATGTCATCCGGCACGGATCGATAAACTCTGATATATTTGATATATACATTTATGTTCAACTCACCATCTGAGTCAATGTTATGTATTTTGTCATTTGACCTTGTAAGGCGCTAAGCCAGTGATCGATATGAGCAGTAGCTCAGACAACAAAAAAAAATTTTAAGAAACAGTTGTTTTGCAAGCTTACGCTAGAAATCTTGTTTATCAATCCGCTTGGATTCAGTAATCAACAAGCTCATACTTAGATACATAGGTATGACAGGTGCCAGGAAAATACAGGCATAAAAACGGCAAGACATTTAGACGACAAAAATGCATCAGCATCAGCGGCGGTCCTATGATTTTCTCGAGGGGGGCGGATTTTCAAAAAAAACTTTAAATTTTTATTGACCTTTTTAGGTCGATCAAATTGGTTTTCTGAGCTCTCTTAAATCACTATAAAGACCTCATTTTGACCTAATTTTTTGCGCCACAGGCAAATTTTTGAAAAAACAGGTCAAAAAGCGCATTTTTTTTGGAAAATTTTGACCAATAAATAGCGTTTTTTTTAGCGCGCGCTCCCCCCCGCCCCCCTCCCCCCCCCCCTCAAAATAACATATACTGGCGCCGAGAGCGCCTTTAGAAAAATTTTAGCGTCAGTCAGCAAGAAATGGATATCTCAAAATAGAAGAAAGGGGGACCCCTTTGTGTTGGCAGGGAGTGGAATCAGGGGTTTGTAATATTGTATTGCAATACTATTGCTCAGAGACAAAAAATAATTGCTGTAAGACGTAAATTAACAATCAATTATTGCAATTATTGAAATTATTGCTAACTATTGCTATAAATCTAAAAATTATTGTATTTTTCTTTAACAAATCTTCGAAACAGTCTCAACACTCCAAAAACTCTCGTTTATCATCAAGAAAAGCTGCATTTCGAGGTGTCTCGGCAAAAGTCTTTTTCTGTATTGTGAAAACACGTTTGTAAACTTTCGCGGCATTCTGTAATGTAGAAATGGCCAAATGAGTTTCACGCCAGTGACGAGTAGCTATGGCATCTGAAATATGGGTGCCGGACATCAAACCGACGGGACTTCAAGCCGAATTGTAAAATTAGAGACTTCAAGCCGAATAGTTCCTTATAAACTCGTGAAATATGATTAATTTGAAAACTTTTTTTGAAGAATTTCTGAATTTCATGATCTTTCTTCACAAGTTATTGGCGTTTTCATAAAATTTAAGCCTCCAAATGATATTTCGGAAAGTTGAAAAGTAAAACATGGTTTAGGCATTTTTCATGTTTATAATTTATGCATTTCAAAAACCGGCTGATGTTATTAACGGATGCCAATCACAAGTGGTGCATTGTCATGAATAACGCTTTTAATGGACTAAACTTACCAAAATTTCCGAAAAATAACGTTTTACAGATGATAAAATAGTGTTTTGAGGTGCTTGTATAGTTTTAATTTCGGCTTGAAGTCCCTTCGGCTTGAAGTCCCGTCAGCTTGTTGTCCTAGACCCCTGAAATATAACACGTTAAAATGCATCGTAATTCAATTTCAACGTCATCCAATCAGAAGAGAGAGTGATTACATCGACTCGTTTACAATAATTGTATTGTCGACAATGTATTGTTTTTGAACAATCAATAATTGCAATATAAAGTTTGGCAGCAATCAATTATTCCATCATTAATATTGACAATAATTGTTCCGTCAATTATTTATTGCAAACCCCTGGGTGGAAGGCCTGAGGGGGGGGGGGGGGTGCGTTAGTATCCCCCCCCCCCGGGCCTAAATCCGCCGATGTTCAGCATTCAAAATTACTACAAATACTAGCCATGCCATCTCGGATCAACCGTTCACTCTCCCCCCCCCCCTCCCACCCCCCTAAGTGACGTACCGTAGAATCTCCCCCCTAGCCTTGTATTAGTTTTGAAAATTGATTTCGTATAAAATATTTTTTTCAAACAAAAGGCAGAATAGACTGCTCGAGAAAATTTTTCAAAAGGAATACCAATTAAATTGTTAATTAACCAAAATTTTCATCATAATTATTTTATAGTTTTTTTTTATTAATTAGATCAATTTATTTTGCCCTCTAAGTTAATCTATGAAAAAGCATTGTTTTATCCCCCCTAAATTTAAGGTTGATCCGCCATCTCAAAAAAATTATTACAGATTACTAACCACCTAATTACGAGAATTTTTAGCCGAGTTATTTTCTTTTTTAGCTGCCGATATTTTTTTTCGGGTAGCCGGTTTTCCTCCTCGGGGGAAACTCGTCGATTATTCAATCGCGAATCCTGTTCGTTTTCGAAAACTTTTTGACAGTGGTACAGAAAAACCGATTACAAATCAGTTTTGTCAACCTTTGTTTTTAGGAATAAATTTGAACCCCATTCTGACCAGAAAACTGGAAGTAATGGTTGATGCGTGTTTTGTTGTTAAAATTTCCGTTTTGCCTTTCTCAGAAATGCATTTTGCGTGTTAAAACAATCATTTCGCGTTGTCAATTTCTCAGAAATGAACTAAAAATCATTTCTGAGAAACTGACAACGCGAAATGATTGTTTCAACACAAAATACAGTTTCTCGCCTAAAAGTCCCGTCTAAAACGGCTGTCGCCTTATTTGCCGGTCACCCCTTTCTGATTGTAGACAATTATGCTCTGTGCACTAACTCCCTTGCAACTAAAAAGGGATCTTGTTAAGTATCCCCCCCCCCTTTGGACCTTACTATTTGCCCCCTATGCATGTAATATTTTTGACAACCATTTCTGTATAAAATATGCATTTCAAAAATGTCAACAATCAAGTGGGTTTTCATTTTCGCGCGTTCGTATTTGTATGACTCACTATTTTGTATAACACCCACGTAAAAAAATTTTAAATATATATATATTTTCTGAAAATTGTTTTAAGCTATTGAAAATGTGGCCGCCAATGCTGGTTTACTCAAAATGGAAATAGGGGAGGGGGGAATATAGTTAACAAGAGCCGTAAAAAGCAAATGTTTGCGTGTGACTAATTTTTGATTTCTCAGAAATCTTAAAATTGTCGTTTCTATTCTTAACTGAGTACTGTCGGTGAATTTTACTTCATATATTTTTACGTTTTCTTTACATCAGTTAGTTTTCGAGTTCTGCTGTCGCACTGATGCGAAAGCCAAACTAACAAGTTGAGCAAAACTTACAGTCTTAATTGCCCTAACAGTGGACAACGGATGTACATCGGAATAATACATTATTGTTTGCGGGGAGAATAATACATTATTGTTTGCGGCGAATACATTATTGTTTGCGGGGAGAATCAATCAAATTCAGTTTTATTGTTTGCTAGACTAGACGTACAGTGCTGATAACCGGACAAAACGCGTTAAACTTGACATTTAAAACCCGTTTTTCTTAAATTGGGTTGAGTTTAGGTTAAAACTTATGAAGACAAAACTTGCTTAAAATTTTAGCAGAATTAAAATGGTGTAATTTGTTTTGCTAAATTCGGGCCCAAAATTTTACCCCAGAAATGGATCATTTTGGCGTTTCTTAGTAGATCAAAAATTACGTGAAAAATATCCAGTCGATCACAGACATAATTATATCAAAGTGAGCCACTTACGTCGCCCAACAAACTTTAAGAAGGGTATATTCTCCAAAACATTGTAAAAACTAACTTATTTTTGTTTGATAGACAAAAAAGGTCGTTTTTTACTATATAAAATACCAACTTTTTCTTACAAACAATTTTTATACGGTTTGCAAATTTTTTTGAAGAATTTACCCTTCTTAAAGTTTGTTGGGCTACGTAAGTGGCTCACTTTGATATAATTATGTCTGTGATCGACTGGGTATTTTTGGCGTAATTTTTGATTAACTAAGAAAAACCAAAATGACTCATTTTTGGGGTAAAATTTTGGGCCCGAATTTTGCAAAACAAATTACACCATATTAATTCTGCTAAAATTTTAAGCAAGTTTTGTCTTCATAAGTTTTCACCTAAAATCAACCCAATTTGAGAAAAACGCGTTTAAAATTTCAAGTTTAACGCGTTTTGTCCGGTTATTTTAAATCAGCACTGTATAGTTAATTTAACACAGTTTATTAACTACCAACAAAAATCTCCTAGCGGACAACACTTTTGATAAAGAGCAGGTATGTTTAATGGTTTATTTGATGAGATGAGAATATCGTCTCGCTTTGCAACCGACTGAAAAAGGAGTACGGGTGGAGGGACGGGGTCGGCCAAAGTTATGGTCCAATTGTCAATTTCCTTTAACTTTTGAGCCCTTTGGTACTAGACATGGAAAGATGTGAGAGAAAAAGCCTTCACACAAAAAGCCCAAAAAATAGAGTGAATGATTTAATTTTTGGCACGCTGTGTGTCTGTCCATAAGTCGATCCGGATCAAGTTAACATCCCCCCTACCCCCCCCCCCCCCCTCCCAAATAGACCAAGTTAAGATCCTCCACCCCAGCGCTTAATATAAATAAATTTGCTAAGCACTGCATGTAAAATGCTCGATTCTCATTGGATGAATTCCCAACTAAGAACCAAGTTAACATCCTCCGGGTCTAGGACAACAAGCCGACGAGACTTCAAGCCGAAGGGACTTCAGGCCGAAAATTAAATTTTACAAGAACCTCAAATCATTTTTTTTTTTCAACTGTTAAACGTTGCTAAACGAGAGTAGTTTTGGAAACAAGTCGAAATTCCAAACACACTATCGATCAACGAAGTTTCAAAATATCGAAAATCTTCTACACGGTAGATAGGTTTTCTTTTCTTCAAAACGCGGTCTTGCTTAAGCAGGAAAGCTTCTGACAGCCTTTTTCATCCACTGAAATCCAAATCTTATAATGAGCTGGGTAATTTTTTGAAATCCAACCGTTTCAAAAAACCGTCAACAACCAAAAAAAGACTTATCTGAGGGCCATAACTTTTGTGTAGAAAATTTTTTATGTGTTGTATTGAGTAATTTAGTTCATTTCCGAAGCTGTCAATCAAATGTTCACTCTTGGTGCTAGACTAATTGATTAGCAGGTGTTTGTCCTTGGAACAGTCTGTCACCCTTGGATACTGTTTCTAACCACTCTCTATGCTAACTTTGTAAGATTAAGTTGACTGTATTTTATCTCGGAATTAACAATTGCTCGACGATCGTTTTACCTTCTCGACATGGCGCAGCCAACAGGATTAGGTGGGGGAAAGAAACCACTGGGCATCACGGGATTTTGGCCAGCAAAATGCACGGAACCGCCAATGATGTGGGAATTCTGGATTAACAGATTCCAATGGGGAATGGTCGCCAAGCACTCACTAAACCCAATGAACTTTTACTTCGCCGCGACACTCACAGCCGCACAAATTACTGACTTGCCCGCGGAAGTAGACGGAAAAAATCGGCGGAATCAGAAATGGTGTTGATTTCGAACCTGTATTTGTGTTTGGGGGAAAAGGGGCAGGATGAACTGCACAAAAGACGACCACACCTGGACCTCCAGACGATTTGTTACCCACGGATGATAGACGCGCTGGAAACGGAATTCAAGAAAGAAAGGAATGAAACATATGAAACATACCAACTCCTTTCTCGTAAGCAATTTATTAATGAAAGTCTTGAGCAATTCCACTCCGTACTCAGCGGATTGGCAGCGCGGTGCGATTTTGGAACATTAGAGGACCGAATACTAAGAGACGTATTCATTGTTAATATGAATAATCGGGATGCACAAAAGGAACTATGCAGGTCGACGAAAACACCTGAGGAAGTGTACCGGATAGCTCTCTCGTACGAGAGGGGTAGCAAGTATGCATCCTCATATGTTGCCACGGGACCAGTGGGGGCCCCTGGATCATCATCAGGAGGCGGAGGAATCCAAATAAAATCGGAACCAGTTGGAATAATCCGGGGAGGTTACCGGAACAATCGTTCAAGGGGCCGGGGCTCTTACAAAGGGCGAGGATCGTATCGAGGAAGAAATCTCCCCAATAACAACAAATGTTATAACTGCGATCAACAAAATTTCACTAGGGAACACTTGGACAGATGCCCAGCAAAAGGGGTTACATGCAGTTTTTGCCACAAAATTGGCCATTTCGAACGAACCTGCAGGGGAAAACGTGGAAACCAGCGAGGACAGGGAGCCGTAGGAACGATACGGGAGAATGTCGACGATCATCACCTAGAAAATTCTGCGGACAAAGAAGCATCACAACGTGCAAGTTCCATTGGATGGGTCAATAAGAATCGAGTGGTGCACTCGTGGGACTCAAGCAGTTCCGACGGGGATTATATGGTCATGGCCATAAAGCGGAAAGGAGTAACAGAATTGAAAGTTGCTGGGGCACAATTGCCGATCAAAGTCAATGGAAAACCCACTCGAGTGTGGATCGATAGCGGATCCCCAATTTCAATTTTTACCATCGGGGAATTACGGAAAACTTTGGGAACATCAGGAGTAAAACTGGACAATCTTACGGAGGAGGACAATGCTTTTCGGGATTATGGAAACAATCCCCTACAGATGATTGGAACAATGGCATTAACAATACAATCAAACGGTTGGAAGATCCATGCAAGGATAAAAGTGATCGGGGGGAACCGACCATCAATAATTGGAAGGGATCTGATGCCCCAACTAGGACTCCAATTGGTGCAACAAACACCAGGGGACCAAATCATGTCCATTGAAGAAGGCAGTCACGACGCACTGGAACCGGAGGGGGAGTTGGATTCATGGCAAACATACTTCAGTAAGCAGTTTTCAAATCTTTTTAGCAGGGTAGGGAAAATAAGAAACTACAAAGTACAAGCCGAATTTTTTGAAAACCTCACCCCAGTACAACAGAAGGGGCGTCGAGTCCCGATTTCGTTGCAAGAAAAAGTGGATGCCGAAATTGACAAATTATTGAAACAGGGTCATATCGAAAAATTATCTGAATGCTCGGACAAATATTTTGTGTCCCCAATAGTAATAACAGTAAAAAAGGATGGATCCGTAAAACTGGCACTAGAGTCGAGAGAACTAAATAAACAAGTGCATAAGAATAAATACCAAATGCCGAATATCGAGGAACTAATGGACACGGTTGGGCAAACGATTAGCGAAAAAAAACAGGGAGACATATATTTCACAACAATGGATTTAACATACGCTTATGGCCAACTGCCACTAAATGCTGAGACGAGCATACAGTGCAATTTTTCTCTCATTGGAGGCCGCTCGACGGGTACATACCGGTTCAAAACATGATTCTATGGCCTCACTACAATGCCCGCGGAATTCCAACGCGCAATGGATTGTATACTCGCCGAATACCCGCAAGCGCATGCGTTCATCGATGATATTTTGGTCGTAACCAAGGGAACGGCAATAGACCACATAGCAACGGTAGAGAAAATTTTAAAGAAACTGGATCGTGAAAATATGTCCCTAAAATTGACAAAATGTAAATTCGCCCAACGAGAATGCGAATGGCTAGGACATAAAATAACTCCGACTGGAATTACTCCATTGGTTAGAAAAACAGAACCGATAGAGGCGCTAACGCCGCCACGGACCTTGTCACAATTAAAATCGTTTATGGGGTCGATCCATAGTTTGCACAAGTATCTGCCGGCATTGGCCGAATCATCGGCACCGCTGCGGCCCCTATTAAGCAAAAATAATGAATACATTTGGACACCTGAATGCCAGAACGCGTTCGAAAACCTGAAGAAACAAGTTTCAAACATTGTTGAATTACGGCACTTTGATATCCACAAGGACATTCGCATAGTGTGCGATGCAAGCCATAACGGGCTCGGCGCAGTGTTGGAACAGTTAGGACCAGAAGGATGGCGCCCAATTTCGTTCGCGTCGCGATATCTTAACGAAGCGGAAAAGAAATACTCAACAAACGAATTGGAAATGTTGGCAGTTGTGTGGGGGGCTGAATACTTTAGAAATTACATACTGGGCCGAAGTTTTTTGATCGTTACCGATCATAAAGCCCTGATATCCGCTTTGAACGGTAATAACAAGAAAAATAAAACGATGTTTAGTCGTTTAACGCGCTGGTTAGATTCCCTTTGATTTTCAAATTGAGCATAAACCGGGGGCTAAAATTGGTTTGGCGGACTATCTATCACGTCATCCAAGTAGAGAAGCAACGCCAATTAGTACGCATGATAATATGTTTACGGTGGCAAAGATCAACCTAATTCGCACTGCGCTTGGCTTTAATACATTCAAGGGACCTAATACATCCAAGGGACCTAATACATCCAAGGGACCAATTTGTACAGCGAATAAGAAGCATTCTATAAATAGACTGGAAGTTTCGTCACAAAACGATTCGGTAGAGGGCGGAAAAACATGTAAGCGGAAATCAACCAATCAGATTCAAACACGTGGTTTAAGTCGACGGCTACGCGAAATACGCACTGGATTAGTTGGGGCTATTATTCAATCAGAACACAGTTGTTCAAAATTATCTGAATCCAATTTTCAAAATCAATTTTTCTTTACATCCAGCCCTCAAATTTTTAAATCACATATTAATATGGACCGCAGCATGCGCAAATGGCAGAAATTTCTTAAACAACATCCAAGCCTAAATAGTAGTAGCGACGAAATCGAAGAATTGCCCCCAAATGTATCACTAGAAGCCATTACCAAAGAGACAAGATCAATACGCACAAATACAACTCTCTCGTTACCCTCGGAATTCAAAAGAGAAACAGTACCACCAGTGGACCCAAACCTTGTATGTATGTCAATTATCCCGCGAAATTGTAAGATCGTTAACAAAACTACTTCATTACCTGACCTGTTTAACTTAAAATTCATAGAATCAAATTATGTATCGGACCCCCAACTGAGCGCTATTCGCGATCTTATTGTTACACAAGATCCTGAAATTCATGAAAAAGTTACTCAAATGAGCCGTTATCATGCTCAATTCGTCAATGATTTCTCAGTGAAGGAAAATGTAGTTTGGATGGATGATAAATTAGCAATTCCAATTAACCTCCAGTCAGCAATTAATAACCGAATCCACGCGTACCATCACGGGAATTCAAATATGTTCGATGCCGCAAAGGATGTCTGGTATCCCTACATCTACCGTTCAATAGCTTCCATTGCCGAAGGGTGCCCTGAATGTACTGC